GAGCTAATTTAGCTCTTTTTAATGATATAAAATTTTCCCTTATAACCCTTATAATTATCCTTATAAATCCAAGTTAAAAAAACAAGAGTCTTTTTCACTTAAAATACATTTATAGGTATTTTTAAAATGTAATGTATTGTATTTAAATATAATACACGAAAATATAATATAATATAAAATGTAATATATAATACACTTGTATTTACTATATTCGTAAGAGCTCTAATCTTCCTAACTATATCTATTCTCTAATACTTAGTATTCTTAAAATAAAGCTTATTCACGCCTATATAATTCTAAACGAATTAACACTTAATTAACACTACTTAAGGGCACGCTTAACTCTTTCTTTATACTCTATAAGATCTCCTCTACAAATCTTTATTATAGGTATACTAAGAATTCGAATTATTATAACGTTTTCTAGAGGTTTTAAGAATAAATAAGCTTAACTTTACTAAGGTAAATTAGATATAATTTAACCTAGTAGACTCACTTCTCTTAGTTATATTCTTAAGAAAAAGCATTATTAAAGTATATAGGGAACCCGTTACTCCTCTATATATAAGGGTTATAGGCGCTTAATTAATAGAAATTTTAATAGTCTCTTATTATAGGGCCTAATAATTATATATTTAACGCTATTAATATACAATTATATTCCGTTAGTTTATAACCTTATAACACGCTTAATTTAAGTTAGGGTTTATTATTTAATTCTTACTAAGTTATACTATGCTTTATTGTAATCTCCTAGTGTGTCCTTCACCTAACTAAATGCAAACTTTGCGATTCCCTGCTTAACGGGAACATATACCCATTTCGAGGACTTTTGCCTAATAGGCTATAACGACCCGTGTCGATCTGAGCGACTGCTAACGAGGGGCATCTCCCCACGTTCGCTTCTGTACTCGCCACGCGATTTAAAGATTACTGCACAGCATTCAGTCGACTCCGCAAGATTGCATTCAGTCTCTGCCCGGCCTTTACAGATGACGAGCGGAACATACTAATGGAAGGGAATCTTGCCGCTGTTGACCGCTACATGTCTAAATAAGACATAACCAACATGTATTGGAAGAGACAGACTACGTACAGTAAGACAACAATAAGCGCAGACCACTCCTGTTATCCAACCCAACCATGGTTTCAAACACACCCGCCTACGTCTTGAGAGATCCGGAATAGATGTGGTCTGAGTGCCACAACTCACCACTCTCCCAGAGACAGCCACCACCATCTTTGGCAGCTGTTCAGGACAGAATACCCCATGCACATGTAGCTTGCGGAAGAGCTGGCTCGGCCGCGACCTCGGCCAAAACAAAACGACGCCAGTCCGTTAGCCACAGACGACGGTCGAGGGCGGCTTGGGCGGCGGCGATGGTGACGTGGCGGGCTGGGGCGACTTCTTTACTGGCTGCGGCCGCGTTGTGGCCTGTCAAATCATGTCAGCAGCTCATCAAAAGAGGCATCAAGATGATTGAATGAGAGGAATGGGCAAGTTCTCACATTTTGGCGAGCATGTGAATACCAGCGAGAAGAAGAGCATCGAGCAGGCAGTGGGCAAGGGTATTTGGAGTCTTCATCATGCACCGACTGTAACGACAGCAGGAGCATCACAGGCATGTATATTCAGGCAGTGGCCTCTGTCAATCTACTGGCAATCCAGGAAATAACACCTAGAGCAGTCCTGGGCTTGGGAACTTGCTCCGGACGACGATGGAGCACCTTTCCGCGGTGTCCTGGATAAGTAGGCCGAAACATCTGGAATCGGCTGAAACCAAGACTCAATCATTGCACAAGTCTTCTACATTGTGATGGTAATGGTAATGACGATGGCGATGGTGAAGATATCTGTAAGGTAAGGATAGGAACTGAGACCCCCATATTGGAAGCTACCTCAACGCTAGTACGAAGAGACCCTCGCTATGAAATGACCTGCTCTCTCGCCTCTTGTGTGCCCAATGATGCTGACAATCTCACGCCCGCAAACCATGTTCGCTGAGGATTTGCCGCAGCGAGACAGGCCTAACGACCTCAGTCGAGAGTCCCAGATGGAGGATGGCATCGCCGTGGCATCGAATCACATCTGGATCGATCGAAGAGGTTTGTACGACGACCCTGCCATGGCGATGCCGGCGGGCGACCATGTCCCAGGCTTCCGTGGCCGCGACCCCTAGAGAAAAGTCCGACGTGCCCCGTACCGTCATGATGACCGACTGCCCGTTTCGAGCCCTCTGGTAGCGAAAGAGCATTGCCACACCCCGTCTGCCATTCCACAACTCCATCGTGCCAAGTCTCGGCATCTTGAGCGCGGCGGCAGCGGCGTCTCGGAGCATGTTGTTAATCTCCGAGGTGTCGGCATCGTGAGTGAGGACGCTCGAAGTGAGCACCAGAGAAGTGAGTTTCTCCCACTTCCATGAATCTCGACGCGCTGCAAAGAAGAAACCAGCGTCGACCATGAAAGAGGCGGATAGCGTCGTGAGGTGCAGGCTGACGTTGGCAAGTTTCTGGCTCACGGCCGGGTCCGGTTCCCGGAGAGTGGGAGGCTGCGTAAATCTTTCCGGGTATGACTCGTTGAAGTTCTCGAATATGACCAGCTTGCACAATTTGGTCGAGGAAAGAGACTCAATCAGCGTCTGGTTGCCTGTCGTGTGGTCGGTCAGCGGCTGTGTTGACTCGCCCAGGGGCTAAGCAGGCACTTGCGTCTATCGGTAAAGACCTGAATTCTCTCCCACTCCCTCCAGGGCTCGTAGCAAAGCTCCTTCATGTTGGGGAAACGCGTGAGCATGTTGGCGAGCGTAACCGGCTTCCATCTTCGGCGGGTCTGCTGGCGAAGGAGAAGGACGCCGACGACGGGTACGAGGGGGAGACTCCGCCACCACTGCATCTCGGGTTCTTCTTCGTCGAAAGGCCCGTCGGCCATGATCTCTTCGAACGTCTGCTCGATGGCGTACCAGCTAGGAGCAACGACCTGTCGCCCGGCAACCCAGCCATGAGCTGGGTCATTGATCAGGGTCGTTTCTTGTTCGTGTCCACGCGGAGACGAGCTCTCGCCGAGGTTGGTATCTGAGCGGAAGCTGAGGTATTTAAACCAGTGCTGGTTGTCACTGGGCGAGTACACACTGATGTCGAGGACCAAATTGCCGCGAGGCTCCCACGCGGCGAGTGTCGTGAACAAGCTTTCAAAGGCATCTGCGATGAATTGGTCGTCCAGGCTCCAAAATGCCAGGTCAGTGTTATGACAGCGTGTGCAATCGTACTGCGTCAGTTCCACGCGGAACCAGACGTAGCGAATCTGGCTTCTCTTGCGGAACAGAATAGCTCGAGAGCTGAGGTCTGCGAGGCGCGGTACTGTCAGACTGATCTCGGCAAAGTTGAGCGGCTCGATAATGGAGTGCCAGTCTCGGGAAACGGTCGCGAGCCGGCTGCATCTCCCGCCGAGGACTGGCAAAAGACGAATGATGTTGTTTTGGATCTCGGGAGGCAGACAATGCCAGGAGGTTCTGTTGCTAGACATGATGCATTAGGCGTGCAGAAGCTTGCGTATGAAGATGGGTGGATGAAATGGCTCCAAGTTTGAGACGTGCGTTTCGGGATTGAACCAGTTGACATGTTTTACCAGCAGGGGCAGGCGCCACACGGACTTGGTTGCCTGCCATGGCATTTTCGTTTTACGAAAGAGACATCTGCCCACTGTAGCCTAGACTTTATCCAAGGAATAAATAAAGACCAGACTTCTTCCTGCCGACTTGTAGCCGCAAAGGCGAAAGAACAAGGCTTAGGTCTCTTGGTAGATGCCGCTCTGCCTTGCCGGCCCAAGACGTCGTCTCCAAGCAACTAACACCTTTCATCAACACAATCTTGTCCGGCTAGGTATCGTTTAGTTCCCCACGATTCCTCGTGCGTTGGATATTTATAATTCACACTCTAGCCTGGAGCACTGAGGTATGCTAGATCAAGGGCATCTAGTAAACAGGCAAACAAGACATTCGCCCCCGTGTTAGTCCTTTCTACCTTGACATTCCTTCCGGCCCAAGTCTGTCCAACCGTGCCATCTGCCTGACCAGGTACCCTTCTCCAGCAGGTTGCCTTTGGCGTTTCGCGCATACACGCGGATGCCATCAGCTCCCATGTACATGGCTCCGGGCGAGCCCACAATGTTTCCGCCCAGGTTGGTCCAATATGCCCGCAGGCGGCCTCCCCTAGTAGACTGCTCGACTAACTGGTAGCGGTGATTGCGTGCGTAGACGCGGATCTCTCCAGGACCGAGATATATGGCCGACGGCGAGCTGCTGATTTGGCCGCCTATAGTCTTCCACTCCTGCCACTCCCCGTTCGTAAAGGCCTTTTCTATGAGCTGGCCGAGCCTGTTCCGTGCGTAGATGCGGATGCCCTCCTCGTCTTTCATCCAGATGGCTGAAGGGTCGTCCACAATGTGTCCTCCGATTTCTTTCCAAGCCTGCCATTTCCCGTCATAGTAAGCGGTTTCCACAAGTCTGCCGGTCATGCCGCGTGCGTAGACGCGGATGCCGTGGTCTCCAAGGTAGATGGCTGAAGGGGCACCGGCAATCTCTCCGCCCAGGTCTTTCCACGGCTGCCACTGACCGGCGTAGTAGCCCGATTCCACAAGGTGATTGTCCTTGCTTCGTGCGTAGACACGGACATCTCCCTCCTGGACAAATATCGCAGCAGGCTCGCTGGCAATGTAGCCCCCTCGGCTGGTCCAATGGTCCCACCACTGACTGTTCTCCCAGCCCTTCACAATGAGGTCGCCCTGTCTGCCGCGTGCGAAGATGCGGATTCCCTGCGATCCAAAGTAGTTGGCGGAGGGACGGCTATAGTCGCTAACTCCGCATTGCTGGCGCAGTAGCATTTCCTGGGCTTGCCTGCATTCGCCTTTTATTTTGACAGCAAGTGTTAACAACGGTTCCATATGCTGGGGCAACGCAGCCTTTGTACATACTATTCTCACCAGGCAGTGATCTCTTGAAATGGAAAAAGTCCCAGGAAGAGCCCAGAGCGGCACCTAGAGCGACAGAGCAATCAAGCCCATCAAAGTCGCCCTCCATCACACGCTGCTCGGCTCCCGCCAGATCAACCGCCACGGCAGCCGTTGGGGACTCAATCTGGCTCTGGTATCCATGGCGTAGCCGTAGTTGTAGCTCGTCTAAAAGGTCATACTGGACGTCCCTTTCCACCGAGTTTTCAACCATGTACAGCCAACGAGTCCATTCTAGCGATTCGCCCCTCTCTGCTTGGGCGTGCATCTGCAGCGCAGTGATTATTGTTCCGGTCCTGCCGTGCCCAAAGCCACACCAAACAAGCGTGCTTGCCCTATGGGCGCGGAAAGCATGCCAGGCTTGTTCGACCTGGTCCATGGAGGGAGCGTGGTAGTCGGGAATAGGTAGCGCCGTGTAAACGATTCCATGCTGCTCAAGGGCATGCCTAATAGCCGGGCTATTGGCCTGACTATTAAGAGAGATGACGTGCGTGATGCCATATTTCTGGAGACATCGAATAGTGTCTTGGGATATTTTCAGGTCCTCGTCTTCATTGACATAGTAGGGAGCAGAGGAGCGATAAAGCCCGTCTCTATAGTCCAGGCGAGCTACTACTTTTTCAAACCGTGCCAGTCCGCCGCAGTCTGGAATAGACTGACCAACTTCCCCAAGGGTCACCCCTTGAACAGCTGTGACGCCCGCAAGAAGGACTGCAAGAGCCTTGTAAAGAAGCGTCATAGCTTAGTCAAGGTGTTGAAACGACCTTGGGCGCTGAATAAAATGATGAAGAGGAAAAGAATAGGCTGTACGTGAATGTCTTGGTTGTGCTTGAGTGCGGCAAGACGCAGGAGACGTGGTCATCCAATATCTCTTTATATATTATGTACCTGGTTGGTATGTTTGCTCGTCCTTGTTATTACTCTGCAATTTTTATAACTCAAGCCTTGTAGCCATACCGGGCGAATATCGGGCAACTCCAAATGCCTGGTGCCTACTTCGCTGTAGCTTGTATGTCTTTCGAGACGACGTGCATGGGTTAATTACTCGAGTGCATTATTACTATAAACTGATGGTACTTGTATTATCATCAGTCGATCCCCCTAGTTGATTCTATGCAGACTGTGAATTGAGCCGCCATGTAGCCCTCTGGACAACCACAATATGCACATCCCTGCTTTCACGTTGACCATGATTCATGAGTCAGACTATGGCCCACTACAGTACCGCTTCGCGACTCACCGGCCTCACCGCTCGGGTTGTCAATATTTCACAAGCATGGGACCTGTAAAATGGATGCGCAGTGATGCCGTATCTTCTACGTGACAAAATCATTATATATACGATTACATTGCGACGGGGTTCCTGGTAGTTTCCCCCATGTGAGATCCTGCTATATTCTCACTTGTTATAGTTTATAAAGGACGGCGAGCTACCTGAAGGAATTCAGGTGGTTAGGGAATCGAAATGAAGCATGATAGACTGATGACGTAGGTGCCTGTCGCCAAGGCCAGCCCATTTCATATTGGAAAAGAAACACATCTATTTCGGGTCTTGGTTTGACCACCTTTGGGACATTTATAATATATCGGCAATTATATTATAACAGGATTTAGAAATGCTTAATATGGTTGTACTAGGTAAAATAAACCTCTAAGCAGACCATGACGGATACCACTCACCCATACTCGTCTGCGGCCTTGCCGATGGATATCAGCGCCTTGGGCAGGGAGACCTCGAGACAGACTACAGCCTCTAAACAGTACGGCTCATTGTTCTGGCACTATGGGATAACACGGACTCTGCTGCCTTTGCGGCGGGCATAGAGGATCAGGAACTGTAACTAGCCCCCGCAGCTTTGCGTGGCGGCCAGCAGTGTTGCAGGTTCCAGACGGGCATATGGACTGCAAAGTTGAGTTATACCCGCGTGCCCATGAGGACACAGACCTAGCTCGACTTCTCCTGGTATGTGGTCAAGACCCGGCCAGGATGGCAAGCCTTGCCATGTTCGCGAAGCGCCTGACGTTGATTGTATTATCGCGTGTCGCCTGAATAGTCGCACTCAAAAATGATATGCTCATGTTTGTCGCATATATGAGTCTCTAAAGTCTCCCGTTCACTTACGATAAACTCGCACCCGTGCCAGATGCAGGGCCCCGCGCCATTTCCAATATAAATACCTGAGCCAAAACTATCACACCAATCCCTAGGTCCAGAGATGAGTGGCACTCTCAGAAATTCTACATCCAACTACCTCTGCATTTCGACACTTTTGCGGGAAGACTAGCCAAGGGGATTAGTGACAGGTCAAGCAAAAAAAGAAAGGAAATTAAAAAAGTAACATACAACACCGGGTATTCGCTGGTCGTCACCGACCCAACTACTAATCCTGCGCTCGCTAGGTTATTGAGGGAGATCGGACGGGATCCTAAGCTTTGCTTGCGGCTATGGTCGTATGTGTCACGTAGGGCAGTTTCTCTTGCCTATAAATCGTACAACACCGGGTATTCGCTAGTCGTCACTAACCCAACTACTGTTATCGTGCGAGATCGGACGGGATACCGCGTCCGAAATGTGAACTTGCCCGACCTTTACCTAAGGCTGTGATTCCCGGAATTAGGGCCAAAAAATTAAGGTTAACTTTTTGACCCTAGGTAATACATGCTCTACTAATTTAAAGTGGGAATATTACTTTATACCGTCTCAAAGTGATTTTTTTAGGCTTATGTGTATTAAGTCTCATTGTAAGGTAGGTTATTTGGTATTCGCCGTATCGCGAGCCTTAAATTATCGCCGTATTGCGAGCCTCAAATTATTGCCGTATCGCGAGCCCAGAGCATTAACTATAGTGTAGTTTTATAGTTTTATAGTTTTTATAGTTTTAAATATAAAGCATAAAGGTACTTAGATATTAGGTTAGGGTTAGGTAGGTTAAGATTATTTGGTTTATCACCCAGTAATAGCTTTTATAATATATACTATCTATTACTTTTAAGAGGTAATAAACTAAACGCTACTTATTACTTTTAAGGTAATGTGTAGTAGTATTTATACTTATAAGTTAAAGGAAATTAAATAGTGCATTTAATTATAGCTATATTACTATTAATTTACTAGTATAAGAGAATAAACACACGCTTAAGTCTTTAATTTAATAAGTTTTATCTTTATAATAAGTTTATAAGATCTTTTACTAATATTTTATTAAGTTATTTAATTAGCCTTACTATAGCTTATAATACGTGTAATTGAAATTACAAGTATTTTAAAAGCATTTAATTACTCTATTTAAATTAATTTATTACTTATTCAAGAACCTTATTAGCCTTAAAAAGTAAGTTATAAGAATTAAAAAGTAATTAAATTATAATATTATATATAAAGTTATTAGTATATATATATATCACGTTTAAGCTAATAAAAATAATAGTTTTACTTAAATAATATTTTTATTAAGAAAGAATTATTTAATCTCTTATAAAAGGCACTTTTTAATTATTATAAAAACGAATTTAAATAGATATAAAGGCCTAATAATATTTACGTTTAAGAGAATATAAAAGAATTATAATTATAAAGACGCACTTACTCTTTAAATATTAATAGACTTATAATTAAAAAGAAGACTTTTATTAAAATAACTTAAATTAATTAAAAAAGAATTAAAAAGAGAAAGAATTAATTAATTAATTAAAAGAATATAATATTTCTTATAGTATTTTTAATAATTATAATCTTATAATTAATTATAAGAAATAATATTATAACGTTTATTATTTTAGCTTATTTATTTATTTATTTAAGTACTCTAAAGCTATTATAGCTATTCTAGTGCTTTTACATGTAGTTTAAGTGGGAAAACCCTTTATATAGAAAGAAAAACCCCCTCGCTTTTATTCTAGGTTATCCCTACCCCACTATAACCTATAATTATATAGGGCGTATTCTAGATCGTGTAAGTTAAAGGTACCTATTAGGCTAGCTATTCTAGTAGCAGTTTATTAAAGCGTGTATAATAGAGGTTTAGGCTAAGTTTAGGTTAGCCTTAATACGCTAGTTAGGTAACTATTCTAGTATTTAGGTGTTTAAGGCTATCACGTAGTTTCCTTTAGGTGTTATATTATACCGTATTATTTTAGGCCTAGTATAACGCTATATCCTAAATATTCCTAGTGTAATTAGTGTATTATAGTAAACTTCACTTTATCCTTACTTTTAGAGCTACTTAGCTAGGCTTAGCTAGCTACCGCCAGCTATTTAAGGCCTACCGTAGCCTTTATAAGAGCTTTAAACTAAGCTGCCGATTTTCCTTCCTTTCTTTCTTCTTTGAACCCTTAATTTTCGTACGTATAGCCTCTTTTTATAGCCTTTATATTTTAGCTTATAAAATTATCTTTATAATAGAATTATCTTTAAAAGAGATATAAAAGCTTATTTTTAACTTAAGTAAACTAATATAAATATTTCTT